CGGAATGATGAATTCGGAGTATGTTCTAAAATATGATTTTAAAAATACTTGACTCTAAAAATACTTGATTTGAACAATTATATTATTGGCAGCTTTCTGTTATTATGTAAAAAACTATAAAATACAGTAAATTATAATAGTATGTCTAGATTAGTTTTTCTTTGGCAGTGGTGGTGGAACTAATGTAACTCCAGTAAAGTAAGGATGATTTAATCCTTTTTTTGCTGTTATCCTCTGATTTGGATCATAAATCAAGAGTTTCTATTAGAACAAAAAATAGTTAAGATTGATACAGAAAAAAATGTATGAAATATAAACTTCGATTTATTGTAAAAATATAATTCTCACCAAAAGCAAATCTTTGGCATCAGGTTCAAAAGAAGGTACAACTTCATCTAAACATTTTGGTTCCCACCTTGGAAACATTGACGTATAATCAGGTAGCTGTGAGACTCCAGGCCAAATACTTTCATCAGGTGTACCTAATGTACGAAATATTCTGAAAAGCTGATCTATTTCTGAGTCCCCTGGAAACAATGCTCTCCTGGTTGCCTATGGGATTGATATAAATATATTGAAAACTTAAAATTATAATTAAATCTGACATTTTTTATACTACAAAATCACAATACCATTTCTGCAAATATACAGCCAAGGCTCCAAACATCCACGGCATTGGAATACAGTTTGGTTCCTAAAAGTATCTCTGGTGCTCTGTACCAAAGAGTTATTATTTCATGTGTATATGTTCGAACAGGAACACCAAAAGTCCTTGCTAATCCAAAATCTGCCAATTTTATATAACCTTCCCGGTCTATTAACAGATTCTGTGGTTTTAGATCTCTGTGTAAGATGCAATGAAGATGGCAGAAGGAAATTCCATTCAATAATTGAAATAGATAACTCTGCAAAAATAACAGACTTGTCTTTGAAGAATGCATGCACCTACTTTCAATTCTGATTACTTTTTAGAGCAATACCTTTACAAGAGCCTGATCTAATCCACCTTTAACAGAGTCTAGTAATTTTTTTAAGTCTTGTTGTAAGAATTCAAAAACAAGATAAAGGTGTTTGTCACCATCTACCACATCAAACAACCTTACAATATTTGGATGAGTAAGTTTCCTTAATAATGATATTTCTCGAATAGCAGTGGATGGAACACCTTCACTTTCCCTGATAGAAATTATATATTAATATTTGGCAATGAAATAAAATATTTATAATATCCATAATGATTGTTACACAACAATGTACAATTAAATTCAAATTAAAATATATATAGAAATTTAAATATAAATTTAAGGCAGGTTTAAATATAAATTTAAATCAGAACTAGGTCACCCCAGAATTAAGGCTTTTCTTCTTTTTAAATAAATATTT